GAAAGTGGGTGGCAGAACTGAAATTTCTCCTCACCCATTTTCAACTTTTCCTCTAATTTCTTTATTCACAAGACAGAAGCCTGGTACACAAAGTTTGTGCACAGGTGGGGTCCCTCCCTGGGCCTGGCCATAGATGAGGGCCTATAGGGGACTGTCTCGCCCAATCTCATTGGGCGGGGCTGCTAGAGTTGCTGGCTGGGGCCTGGGGGTCTGCTGGCTGCCAGACAGGGCCTGTTGGACAGGGCCAGAGGGACATGGGGAGGGAGGGACTAGGGGAGGTTGGCTGGCCATGGGAGATTGGCTGTGGGAGCCCACTGACCATCAGGGGGCAGCTCTTGCATTGAGCGTCTGACCCCTGGTGGTCAGTGCCTATCACAGCGAGTGGTTGAGGGGCCTTAGCATATCATGAGCATATTATACTTTCATTGGTTGAACAGATGACCAGACACCTAGCATATTAGGATTTTATTATATAGGATAGCCCTCAGGGACACAACCACTTCCTAAGAACCAAGATAATAGATATCTAGTTTAAAATAAATGAGTAACTTGAGGGAAATATATAAAATAAATATTAACACATATAAGAAAATAAGTGTCTTCTGGATGCCTCTTTTTGGTGACCATGTATTTTAAAATTAGAAGAATATACTATAAAATGTTATTAGTTTTATAACCTATTCAACTTCTGACAATGCATATATAAACAAAACAAAAATGTTTATAATCCAGTAAATCTGAATCACTGAGGGGAAATAGGGAAAATATTCCTGACTTTAACAAATTTTCTTTTATCTTAATTTTTTAAAATTCTTCATTGTTGAAAGTATTAAATATATCTCCTTTTCTCCCCATTAACCTCCGGTCCCTGCCCACTCCCTCCCCCTAACAAACTTTCTTACATTTAGATTAGGGTGGATACAAAAATGAAGAGATGAGCCGGGACCGGTTTGGCTCAGTGGATAGAGCGTCGGCCTGCGGACTAAAGGGTCCCAGGTTCGATTTCGGTCAAGGGCATATACCTTGGTTGCGGGCACATCCCCAGTGAGGGGTATGTAGGAGGCAGCTGATCGATGATTCTCTCTCATCGATGTTTCTAACTCTCTATCCCTCTCTCTTCCTCTCTGTGAAAAATCAATAAAATATATATTAAAAAAAAGAAGAGATGAGCAAATATGTGATAAAGCAAGTATAATAAAACCTTAATGGTAGTCTAAGTTTATCCTATTCAATATGGCACCCACTAACCACATGTAGCTTTCTTCATTTAAATCAAAACTAAATAAGTAAAATTTTTAAAATTTGTGTTTTTTTTTTGTTTCATTGGCCACATTTCAAATACTCAATAGCCACAGTAGTCCAAATGGCTACTGTCATGGGGAAACAGACCATACACCATCGTTGCACAAAGTAATATGGGTGACCACTGTAAAATTTTTTCAAATGTTTTGTACATTTGAAACTTTTTACAATAAAACATTGAAGCCCTGGCCAGTTTAATCAGTGGTTAGGGTGTTGGCCTGCAGACCAAAGGGTCCAGGGTTTGATTCCCGGTCAATAATACAATGAAAAAGTTTAGGTCAACAGATGTCAGTTTCCCATATAAACATTTCCACAAAATGAGATTCTCCTTCTAGCGAATCCACATTCATTTAATCTATGAAATTCTAAGTTTAGACCTGAACTTCCCAAAACGGGAATGAAGGGGTAGTAATAGAGAACTGAAATAATGAACTAACTAAGAGACCACAGTATGGAGTATTTTCAGCTTGCAGTCAAAATGGATTTTTCTCCCATTATAGGGAAGACTCAAATGTCTTTCGGGTTCAAAAGTGACTATAATGAATCTTTAAAATTGGGAAAGGGGGACAACAATGTCTTATTTGAACTTCAGAAGTTATTTCACTTTTACTTATTGTCTTAGTGATTGCCCACCACCTTCTATTTTTGACCGGGTGCAACTGTGGTCCACATACACTTTCCGTTGCAAGGGCTTCTTAGGGCTTGCACTGCTGTGGCTGTTCTGAATGCCTCCACAGAACTGAAACTGAGGTAAGTCTGTTATGTTTGTACCGGGGAGAGTAATAGCATAACTCCAAAAAATTAATTAAAAGTGGCATTCATAGTGTCAGTTGTCTCTGAATTCAGAGGATTCAAACCCTGACTAGTAAGAAAGAAGGTACCGGTATTGTCTCTTTCCATTCTGGGAAAACTTTTCCCAACCTAACATTCAACTGATTTAAGGCAAATACAGGTTTAGGTCAGCACGACTCTAGGGCAAAACACACACACAGCGGGAACCGGTTTGGCTCAGTGGATGGAGCGTCGGCCTGCAGACTGAGGGGTCCCAGGTTCGATTCCCGTCAGGGGCATGAGCACTGGCTGCAGGCACATCCCTGGGGGGGGGGGGGGGGGGGGCGGGAGGCGGCTGGTCGATGTTTCTCTCTCATTGATGGTTCTCTCTATCCCTCTCCCTTCCTCTCTGTGGAAAATCAGTAAAATATATCTAAAACACACACACACACCAAAAAACAACAAAGGTGGGAACCAAACACCCTTCAATACAAGGATGCGATGGTTCTCACACTGGAGCTGACCTAGGAAATCACCCACTGAAACAGATCTTTCCCCACCCCCCGCCCCGCGTCTGACCAGGGCCTCTCCGACAGGTCCCCAGGGGATGCCGGGCAGCTGGTCCCACCAAGAACCGCTGTGCCAGCGCCATCTGCCCAACGCACCCGGCGGCGGGCTACCTGCCGGCCCCGCCTCTGCCCCCCAGCGGCCCGGGGCACGGCGGGGGTGCGGGGACGGCCATCCCCGCCGCCGGCCGGTAAACAGATCCGGGAACCGCTCCGGCGCCCTCTCTGATTGAGCAACTCCCGCATTTCCCGGGCGCAGACACTGCCCGGCCCCGGCCCGGCTCCGCTCTGGGAGGAGCCATTACCGAGGCGGCCGTCACTGGGGATCGCGCATTTTCGACGGACAAGCCCCATCGGGATGCGGACGACCCCGGAGTCAGAGCCCCGTCCGCTCGCTCCCTGCCCCCTCCACGCCCCTTCCACTTCCCGGGGCGCTTCTCCCCATTCCTCCTTCGGGAGTGAGGACCGCAGCCCGCGGCCAGCCGGCCTGAGGGGGGGGACGTCTTAGGCGGACGCCGCGGTCCCCCGGCCCTGGCCTCCCGGAAGGTTCCAGACGGAGAGGCGGCCAAGCTGCGCCCGCCCGGTCCTACCTTCGGAGCTCCGGGCGGCGACGCGTCAGGAGGGCCCGTCTTCAGCCATCCTGCGGCCGGCAACGTCGCGAGCAAGAGCAGACGGAGTGCGAGGAGCGCCAGCGGAGCGCCCTCCATTTTGGACTGGCCAACGGCGGCCGGCGAGGTGGGAGGAGGTCGGGGCGGGGCGGGGCCTGGTGGGGGCGGGGCTCCGACGGCCTGGGAAGAGTGGACCACGCACGCGCGTCACCGCCCAATGACGAGGGGCGGAGTCAAATCAGAGACTGTGCTGTGGCGTCATTGGACGGGCGCTCTAGATTGGAGGGTTTCTCCACCTGCATGGGTGTAAGCATTTTCGTTGCCATTATTTTAAAATTAGTATTATACTGCATATGCACATAGCTATATCTCTGTGTGTATGTATATGTATATATATATATATATATATATATATATATATATATATATATATTTACCTGTGTCTATGAAGTGAAAATAACTGCTGTATATCAAAACACTATATACATTAAAAAGAAGATCTATCACGTTTAGCGGGGAAATTTTTATCAATTCCGCAGGTCTCACCCTTAGCTGTACATGGGGAATTGCCTGGGGCAATTTTAAAAATTACTATCTGAAAAAAAAATTACTGTCTGGGTTTTTTCCAGGCCATCGAGTTTCTAAAAGCGAGAAGACATCTGTACCCAAGGTTGTTAAAAAAGCATATTGTAAATTAGCGTCTGAGAAAAATGCTATAAGATGTTAAAAAAAATATGTAAGATAATGACAGGAATTTAGGAAATAATTGTCAGAGACCGTGAAAAGCCTGAGATTTTGCCTTATTTTCAAATTAACAAGTTAGCTTGCCAGTTTCATGGGTGCTGGTGTAAGATATGGACCCCTGGGTCAGAGCCAATCATTTACTACAGTATAGCAAGCAAGCTGCACGAGTACCAGCACATTTGCATCAGTTCCATTGGAGGTTATAAGTATGTAAGAAAATCGCATAAATGAGTCATCAGCTTGTAGAGGGGAGTTTGGGGAATAAGCTTTGCATAGAAACTCTCCACGGAGGCCAAAAGAAGTTTGTATGTCTTCTAAGTTAAAGATCATTGACAAAATCAGTAGAGATTTGGGGCTGAAGCCTACGGTTTTTTTTTCCTCCCAAAAAATATATTTTTATTCATTTCCGAGAGGAAGGGAGAAGGAGATAGAAACACGAATGATGAGGGAGAATCATTGATTGGCTGTCTCCTGCACATCCCCTAAGGATCCAGCCCAACCTGCACGTGCCGCTTGGGAATCGAGATCTCCCAAATGTTCCTAAGGTTATGCAGCCACTGAGCCGCACTTGCGGGGCGTGAAGACTGCGTTGACAGCTTGTGGCTCTCAGGACCCACCATCTGCTGCTGTAACAAGTGTAGCCTCTGACATGGACGCGATCAGACAGGAAAGAACTTCCTGTTAACCATCTTTCTGGGTAGCAAATTGTACGTTTAAAGTTTTTTTATTCAGAGCGACAACCTGACACTGATTAGGAAATGCCGAGTCTTCGGCCCCTACCAGAACGCGAAAGTGGGTGGCACCGCCGTGGCCCTGGCTCCCACGGACGCGGCCGGAGCGGCAGGAAAGGGTCGCTCGGAGGCCGGCCTCGTCCTTGGGATGGACACAAATAAGACACCAACTCCTCCGCAGAGGCCCTTTTGAGCCACAGGATTCCAACCCCGGCCAAGATTTTTCAAAAAGGGCCGCGCCGGGGGCGGGCCCCACGGGAGGGGTGACGTCACACCGCGTCGCGCCGCGGATGACGCGCGGCGCGGGCGACGCGGACCGGGCCTGTCACGGCGGGGCCGGCGGCGGGGGAGGAGCGGGCGCCATGGCCGTTCTGCTGGAGACCACGCTGGGCGACGTCGTCATCGACCTGTACACCGAGGAGCGGCCGCGCGGTGAGGCCCGCCCCGCTCGCCTCTGGCCGGGCGGCGATGTCCTTCCTCCCTCTCTGCCTTGGCCGCCCGCAGCCCGGCCCCGAGGAGCGGGGCTCGGTTAGAGAAGTGTTTAGGAGGCGCAGCCCTTCTGCCCTGCCTGGCGCCGGCCAGTCGGGTGGCGGGTGCTTGTGGTCTTTCATTTTTTATATTTTTATTGATTTCTTTTTTTTTTTTTTTTACAGAGAGGAAAAGAGAGAGGAATAGAGAGTTAGAAACATCGATGAGAGAGAATCATCGATCAGCTGCCTCTTGCACACCGCCCACCGGGGATGTGCCCGCAACCAAAGTCCATGCCCTTGACCAGAATCGAACCCGGGACCTTTCAGTTCGCAGGCCGACGCTCTATCCACTGAGCCAAACCGGTTTCGGCTGCTTGTAGTCTTTCAATGCGTGCGTGTGTGTGTGTGTGTGTGTGTGTGTGTGTGTGTGGTGGTGGTTGGGGGCGGGGGGGTAGGGGCATATCCAGGGGGCCATACCCAGAGTCCACAAAGTTTTAGCGGCTTGACTGCGCCTTCCTGGTGACAGGAGCACACCAGCCCTCCTGGGTGTGTAATCTGTGAGTCTGGGTGAAAGCAGCGAGTGTGTGCCCGGTCAGGGGGCGTGGGCATCCTGCCTGCATGGAGGAAGGGCGGGCTGGCAGGTGTGCCCGGAGCCGTAGGGAACACTCATTGAGAACACCCATTGATTGCCTACTGGGCAAGAGTTTGCCAAGCCTTGGGGTGCATACGCGCCTTCCCATGAGGGTGTAGTTTTCTATTGGGTGGGTGGGGTGGGGGGATCTACGCTGGAACCCATTGAACTTTTAAGTGTAGTCTGCAGTGTTTCCCAAAGTGCGGTACGTGTGCCCCCGGGGGTACGGGGAGAGTTTGGTGGGGATATGCACTGCACCGTGCTTAGCTGCGCCGAATTCTACGTTCTTATGAGTACGAGGGGTACTCAGCGTTACAAAACTATAGAAGGGGTACACATCTGTCAAAAGTTTGGGGAACACTGGTGTAGAGGAAGTGTGTGTGAGTTGCTATGGAAACAGATTAATTCTTTCTGGTTGGGGGGCGGGAAGAAGTGGAGCAAGCCCCGAATGCAGAACTCTGGAACTCGCTATTTCCAAGATGAGTGGAGATGAAGGTTTTCTTCGAGTTCGTTTGGAACTTTCTGGGAACAGCAAGTAGCCCGGCGTGGCTGGAAGGGATGGTGTGTGACATGGAATGGCAGACTGGGAGTCTGGTGGCATACATGGGATCCTGAATGGTCTTGTGAGCCCTACCCATGACCAGGGTTTTGGAAGGTTTTAAAAACAGGGTTGCGGCCTGGCACACTTGTTTTGGGAAGGTACGAGGCAGCGGTGTGGAGAATGCATCTGAATAAGGGCCATCTGGAGGCCAGGGGAGATTGTTACAATCAGGGTCCTGCCCCCATGAGATGCAGCATCTGCCAAAGAGGATGAAACTCCCACACTCAGCTCTTCCCACCCCCCCACCCCCCCCCCCGTCCCCCCCCCCCCCCCACACTAAGTACTCAACCGTGTACCCATGCCTCCCATCCTGTTGCCTCAACCCCACACTCTCTCCTCTGTTGTCCTTTTGGCAGACTTCCTGCTTGTTCAGAGCTCAGGTCAAGTATGATCTCTGCCGTCTCTGCATTGTCCCTAAGCAGAGTTAGATCTGCTTCTTCTGCTCTACCTCGATACAACACACATTTTGTTAAAATACTTACCTGTTGTCCTGGAGTTATTTGCAAGTCTTGTCTCCTCTCGGAATATAAACTCTGCCCTCAGTAGTTAGAGCATCCGCCCTCGGACTGAAGGGTGGGGGGTTCAGTTCTGGTAAAGGGCATGTGCCTCGTTGCAGGCCTGATCTCGGGTTGGAACATGTGGGGACGTGTGCAAGAGGCCACCAGTTGATGTGTCTCTCTCACTTAAGTGTTTTTCTTTCTCTGTTTCTTCCCCTCCCATCCACTCTCTCTAAGATCACATGTGTCAAACACAAGGCCCGCGGGCCAAATCCGTCCCACCAGGCCTTGCAATGTGGCCCGCACCGCGCTGTCATCACTGCACTCCGCTGCGTTTCCATCACAATGACAGTTTATGATTGTTCAGTAAACCATTCGGCCCTCGATTTAGGCTGGATTTTAGATTTTGGCCCCTTCTCTGATTGAGATCGACACCCCTACTCTAAGATCAATGGAAAAATATCCGAGGGTGAGGATTAACAAAACAAAAGAAAAGAATATACACTCCAAGAGAGCAGGGACTGTGCTGAAATAATTTCTTTCTATATCCTGAACCCCTCGTGCAATGCCTGACACTTTGAGGGCACACATTGAAGGTTTATTATATTGACTAATCCATACATGTGTGGTATTAGGGCTTTTTGTGCAAGTGGTAGAAATTCAACTTGAACTGGCTGAAAGAAAATAATTGATTGTCTTGTGTTGCTGGAGTAAGATTGGCTATAAGGATGATGGGATCCAGGGGAATCAAAGGATGTTATAGGGAATTGTATTTGCCATATTTTGGTTTTGCTTTCCAATTTTCACATGGAGCAGCACCTGGCAAATGAGGAACTAAGGAGAGAGAGGGTTATTCTACTTGACTAACACATATGTGCCAGTATTGTAACTAATTTTTCTCTCTCTTATAAAATCAATTAATAAATGATTGCTTATCTCAGATGTGTCAGTTTCCTGCATTAGCTCACCTGCCCAAGAAGCCCTCAGAAAAGGAGAATAGCCGAAGCCGGTTTGGCTCAGTGGTAGAGCGTCGGTCTACGGACTGAAAGGTCCCAGGTTCGATTCCGGTCAAGGGCATGTACATTGGTTGCGGGCACATCCCTGGTAGGGGGTGTGCAAGAGGCAGCTGGTCGATGTTTCTCTCTCATTGACGTTTCTAGCTCTCTATCTCTCTCCCTTCCTCTCTGTAAAAAATCAATAAAATATATTTTAAAAAAGAAAAGGAGAATAAAAAGATAATTTAAAATATATTGCTCTTTTTTTTTTGGCTTTGGATATTTGACCATTTGTGGAAGGTTTTGTATAATATTTAGAAATTAAATTATACCAACTGTGCTTTTACTTGCTTAAAGCATATTTGTGAACTATGATACATTTATTATTTGTTTTCTTTCAGCCTGTTTGAATTTTCTGAAGTTGTGCAAAACAAAATATTACAATTATTGCCTTATTCATAATGTACAGGTGAGTTGGTGGATATTAGTCATGTTCTTTGTTATTGGAACCATCTAGCAAATTATGTGAATTAATAAAATATATATCCTATATATTATAGAGGGATTTTATCATCCAAACTGGTGATCCTACAGGGACTGGCCGTGGAGGAGAGTCTGTTTTTGGGTAAGTTCTTTTATTTTTTAATGAATAAAATAGAATTGCCTCTTTATAGCATTTAACTAGCTTATTTCAATCTGCATTTTAAAATATGGTTCAAATTAGATTTTTTCCAAGTTCCTGCAGTGGTCTCCAACCTTTTGGACCTCATGGACCATCGGTTGGTGACCGCTGGAAATGAGAAATATTTTGAATCATACTGATATTTCTATAAAGAAATGGCAACCATATATGTTACTTGTACTTCTGTATTTCATGGTGAGAATACTTATATTTTATTACCTTATTGTATGTATTTTCAGTCAACTGTATGGTGATCAAGCAAGGTTTTTCGATGCAGAAAAAGTGCCAAGAATTAAGCACAAGAAGAAAGGCACTGTGTCCATGGTGAACAATGGCAGTGATCAGCATGGATCTCAGGTTAGGAAAGATGGGTGAAAAGATGAGTTTTGCTTTAAAACGAGGGACTGTAAAAATCCTACAAAGTTAGAATTATCCAGTAAGGAGAACATTTCAATAAAATATATTTGTTATAGGAAAAATATTACCCTCTTTTCTCTTTATAACAAAAATGATATGACATCACAAAAAGAAAAAAAATTATTTTCTTTTAAATGCAAGGCATGTTCATTGTGAGAAATTTAGAAAACATTGCAAAGTACAAAGAAGAAAATAACATTACCCCCAACCCCACCATTCATGGATCATAACTGTTCACATTGTGCCGGAAGCTAATCCAGCATGTCAGAAATGCAAGAAGTTTCATCAAAAAACTGATGGAATTTGGAGATTCAGCAGGGCATTCCCCCACACCTAAAGATTTGCATATGTTATTGCCTGTTACCAGACAGCTGAGGGCATTTTAATCTACATGTTACTGCCTCCTGCTGGCCAAACACCTGAACAGCCAAAGGCAGTTCTCCCAATCTAACAATGCCTCTGTATACTCAACCTTGGCCTTTGATATGTATATCTGCTTTGCTTTAGGACAATTTGTGTTAATAAAGAGCCAAGCGGTCCTCAGACTGACAGAACTTGGTTCCCATAGCTAAGCTCCTCTGGCTACCCCATGGATTACAAATTTATATTTCTAGTCTCTTGATTAATTTACGGCAGCCCCTTCTCCAGATATTTTGAACCCTAACAGCAGCAGAGAAAGACCAAGACTCTAATAACATTGTGGCCCATTTCCTTTCTATATTTATTACTTTTTTCAAAACAGGCCATGTCAAAAAACACTTCATTCTTTGCTTTCTTTAATACTCACTGAAACCCCATTTGGGGAGGATGCTTTCCCCTCCTCTCCCCACACCCCTTCACAGTTTACATGTGAAGAAACTGAGCCTTGCTTTGGCCAAGTATTTTAAACAGAGCAACATCTGTGTATGTGTTGACATTTTATGTATAAACTTTTTACTCAGTACTAGTAACAAGTGGGTAAGAATCCATGCAGTTAATGTGGAATCTTTTGTGTATTTTTTGTCAGTCTGTTAAGTAATTTCAGTTTGAATTATTTGTGTTCTGTGTTTTTCTTTATAGTTTCTTATTACTACAGGAGATAATCTAGATTACCTTGATGGTGTTCATACTGTGTTTGGTGAGGTGACAGAAGGCATGGATATAATTAAGAAAATTAATGAGACCTTTGTTGACAAGGATTTTGTACCATATCAAGATATCAGGTATAGTTACAATTTACTATCTGAATGTACTAGAATGTTTTAATACTGTGATATTTGACATGGTAGTGATGATGTTATGTGAAAGACTGTTTTTTTGAATAAATGTGAATTAATACAGTACAAAACTATAAGAATCTTTATGTTTTTACACTTTTATGTTTTTATACTTGTACTAATTATTTATAATTGCATGTGCTGGGAGGAATATCAAGTCTTTAATTTAGTATTTAAAAATGCAGATTATTGAAAAATATGGCAAAAGTACTAAGAGTTAGATATAATATTTTAGAGTAATAACAGTAATAAATATAATATCAAACAATCACAAACAGTAACACTAATTGTGACAGTGTACTCTAGTAACATTCTGGTGCAATAAAATTTAGGAGCTTATACTTGTAGTTTTTTGGCTTTGGGATACATAGACATTTGTTAAAATATTTGCAAAAAGTAAAACATAGATTCTGAAACATTGTAACCGTAACATTTGACATGGATTTATTTTGTAAGGATTAATCATACAGTGATTTTAGATGATCCATTTGATGACCCTCCGGATTTATTAATTCCTGATCGATCACCAGAACCTACTAAGGAACAACTAGATGTAAGTTGAGTCCTCTTGTGATTGAATGTTCATGCATATTAATGCTTTGCATAGCTTTGCTTTTTAGCCTATTAAAACATTTCTTCAGAATGCCTATCTTGCTTGAACAATTATTTTAGGATAAGTGTAGAGTTCTTTTTCTTTTCTATGGAGGCAATTAATTTTTCTAGCTATGTTTTTATCATAATATCCTTTTTTCAGTTTCTGTTCCACTGAAAGTAAGCTTATATGATTACTTAGGGAAAATGTTTTTTTTGTTTGTTTGTTTGTTTTGTTTTGTTTTATATCCTAACTAAAATTTCAAGAATTTTAGGCTAAATTTAAACTATCATCCTTTAAAATAATTTTTCAATTGGGACATACTCTGAAGCCAGGCTAGAACCCAGAAATTTCTGTGGAATAATGTACACTTTTTCCTCAGATATTTTGAAGTATAAATTTCTGCTTATGAGACTTCCCTTAAAGCTAACTTTATCTTTATAATTGGATTTGATGCTTACCGTAGTTTCTAATACTATTGGTCTTCTGCATTCAACACTTAGTTGGATACAGATAGTATCTATGTAAATGTTTATTTTGAGGTAACAATAAATTAGAAGATTAGTCTGGCTGATATTATTGAATTAATGTACATCAATTTTCAGAGGTAAGTTACACATACATGAAACCAATGAAGTTAATCTATTCTAATGCATTTGATGGAACTAAGAATAAAGCATAATGACCCAGATTTTTCTATTTTTTAAACTTATATATACACATATACTAGTAAGAAAAACTTTTGCCTTACAGAGTGGTCGAATAGGAGCAGATGAAGAAATTGATGATTTCAAAGGAAGATCAGCTGAAGAAGTAGAAGAAATAAAGGCAGAAAAAGAGGCCAAAACTCAAGCTATTTTATTAGAAATGGTAAGTAATTTTCTTTGTTCAAATAATTGTTCAGTAATATATTTAATACACACTTGCTGTTGGTTTATCTATTTCTGGCTTTTTGATAGTCTTAAAATATAAAAATTTAGCTAAGCGTATGTTTCTGGATTAGATTTTGTGTAAAATAATAATACATGAAAGTAAACAAATTTGATTCCACTATTAATAAAGTGTTAAGTGCCTTTTTAAAAAATGGGGAATGGATATCCAATTTACAAATATTTATGGATTTTAATTGTTATACTCAACATTTTAAAAGAGCATTTCTTGGATTAAATTTTATGTATATTAACCAAATAATTTTTTGTACAACTCAAGTATTGAGATTAAATATTAGAATAGTAGTTACAGATTAAAATAAACCTGGGTAGAACTGAGAGAGAGAAAGAGAGAAACATTGATATGAGAGAAACACTGCTTGCCTCGGCCCTGACCAGGATCGAACCAGAAACCTAGATTTGTGTCTTGACAGGAATCATATCCAAAACCTTTTGGTACATGGGATGGTGCTCCGACCAACTGAGCCGCCCGTCCAGGGTTCACAGTCTATTGTAAAACTCATATAGCATCATCAGTCTGAAGGAATAAATATTAAAGACCATAATTCAGTAATAACTTTATTAAATTAAAAAAATTGAAAATAATACATTTTAATGAGTACACAATATCAGAGAATATTGACCTAGAACTATCAACACCAAGTCAAATTACAAGAAAAATAATAAAAACAAGAATAAGTGACACATAGGGAAAGAACATTAGATTATAATCAGAATTTTCAGCAGCAAAAGTATAAGAAGTTCATGCCTGAAGAAAATGGGCTAATGTTTTTTTTTTATTTGTAGATAATTTTAAATTTATGAAAAATGTACAAAAAAATAGTGTAGAGAACTTCTATATACTTTTTACCGAGACTTACCAATTTTTAAATTTGCCACATCTGCTTGATCATTCTCTCTCCTCTCCCTCCTCCGTCTCCTCTCTTTCTCTCTGTTCTCTCCTTCTTTATGTTTCTGATGATATATGTACATGCACTTACTATTTTTTCTGGACCATTTGAAATTAAATTGCAAACTTTCTCTTTACCTCATACATCATGTATTTCCTGAGAGCAACAATATTAATCTACATATTCACTGTACAGTTATTGAAATCAGGAAATTAAATATTGATAGAAATTGCAGTTCATGCTCCAATCTCGTTAGTTATTTCGGTAATACTCTTTATAGCTCTGCCTCTCCCCACTCCTTCCCAGTTCAGAATCCAGCTTTCAAAATCTGTCAAGCCCAGAATGGTGATGCATATCTTTGTGTTTAATGGGATACATCAGTGAAAAAAAGATTTGCCTTTGTGAAACTTGTATATTAATATAAAGCCCATTATTGTTAACTACAGTCTATAATTTACATTAGGATGAACTCTTTGTGTTGGAAATTCTGTGGACTTTGACAGATGCATGTATCCAGCATTATAATATCACACCGAATAGTGTCATTACTCCCCTAAATCTTCTTCGTCCTACCTCTTCATCCCTATCTCCCACAACCTTTGATAACTACCGATCTTTTATGACTGCATCATTTTTGTCTCTTTTTAGAATGTCATATAATTGGAATCATACAGTATGTTACTTTCAGACTGGCTTCTTTCATTTAGCATTATGTGTTCAAGGTTCTTCCATGTCTTTCGATTGTTAGTGCACCATAGTTTATCCATTTATCTATTGAAATATCAGTTGCTTCTAAGTTCTAGCAAGTATGAATAAAGCTGCTGTAAACAATTTGTCTATATTTTTGTGTGGACATTTTTTAACTCATTTCGATAAAACTTAGGAGGGCAGTTGCTGGGTTGTATTGTTTAGGCTTGTAAGAAACTGCCAAACTAGCAATAAATGAGAGTTCCTGTTGCTCTGTCTCATTTCCAGCATGTAGTGGTGTCAGTGTTTTGGATTTTAACCTTTCTAATACATGAGCCTGTTCTTTTTGGTCCTCACTATTATCTTCTATTTTTTAAGCACACCAGTCTCTTACTTATTTGTGTGTAAGTAATATAATGATAATTCAGCTAGTGTTTTGCATTATCAACCAGTGTTTTGAACTTCATAACTGTTAAGAGTATTTTAAATTTCCTTGTTATCCTTGACAAGTATTATAGTATTTTCCTAACATTAATTTTTTTTATTTGTGCTTCCTTGAGATGTGATATTTCTGCACTGTAGGTGCTTTTGGCGATTTTACTGATTTGCTCTTCCCCATATGTGCTGTGATACTTCTTACTGGACATAGGTGGTGCTTGTTTTTAATAGGCTTTGAAGACACTGAGCAGATCTGATTGGTGGTGTTTCTTCTTGCTGTTTCTGATTTTCATGATTTCTTTTTGTTTTAGCATGTTTATTGAAGAGAAAATGCTTTATGTGGTAATGTTATGAGAAATCATCTCTGAGAGTTTTTGAATAAAGGAATATTGTTTTCCCCATCTAAAGGCCATGGGAAAATAATTTTCCCACAATGAAACATGGTTTTCCCCTCACTGTTGCCCTCACTGCTTCTTCAGTGAGAAGTGGAATGCTCTTCTCAGTGCAGTGGTTGACTGTGAAGTTGACTCAATGTGACTGAGGGAAAAGATGATAGTGAGGATGAGAGTAAAAAGCTAGAAAAACTCAATATTCAGGAATTATTGCTGTTCATATTGAACAATAATGTGAAAGGAACTGGTGTTACTAATCACATAAGGCTAGATTTAATAAGATAATATTTTTCAAAAGTTTAAAATCAAGCATAAGTAAATAATATCTTGCTCAGGAATACATACCTCTCTGGTAAAACTCTAAAGATATGCAAGGAGATGGCCAAAAAGGAAAACCAAGAAGCAGGATATTCATTATATCTGGTATGAGAGGCAGAGGGATAATGGGATCAGGAGACATTTTAGTTCTTAAGCTGTTGTCATCATGGCTGTTTTTTATGTTTATGTTTCATAACTTAGATATACTTTATATAAATTGTTTTAATATATCAAATAGGAAAAAGTGAAGATAAAATCCAGATAAAGTTGGAGTCAAATCCCACCTCAGTTGGTTATCACTATGTGGCTTTGGGCAAGTTATTTAACCTTTCTGAATTTCACTTTCACAAAATGGATTATTATTTTAAGCATTATTTTAAGAATTGTCAGTAATGAATTTTGAGGTCTTATTTAGATTTATTTTTCTGAACCTGCAGTTTATAATTTAGGTGTTTTAGGAAAATTGACATTTCGATGTGGATAGATATTTAGAATGGAAAATAAATAAAGGAATTGATTTATATTTTTGTTTGTTTATAATTTAGGTGGGAGACTTACCTGATGCAGATATTAAACCTCCAGAAAATGTCCTGTTTGTGTGTAAATTGAATCCAGTGACCACAGATGAGGATTTGGAGATAATATTTTCAAGATTTGGACCAATAAGAAGGTAATCTCTAGAATTAGTGAAAGATTTTAGGAAAACTAGATATTAATTTGTGGGTTTCTAATATATATCTGATGAAGCTATGAATCTAGGTGAATTTTGTACAGGTGAATTTTACAATTGAATCTTTGGGACAAAGGGAAGAAAAATTATGTATGTAATTAATTATAATATATTTCCTGTGAGAAAGGGAAATATAACTAATTTATAAAGTATTATTTTATGATCCTGGCAAGGTGGCTCAGTTGGTTGGAGCATCGTCCCATACACCAAAAGGTTGCGGGTTAGATCCCAGTTAGATGCGTGCAGGAGGCAACCAATTGATGTTTTTCTCTCACAGCGATGTTTCTCTCTCTCACTTTTTCTCCCTCTCAAATCAATTTTTAAAAATTATTACTGTTATGTTTAGAATTTCATTTCATGATTTTCTCCCATGAAGCCATTCTTAATTCTTCCTGTTGAAATAAAAATCTTCCTGTAAATGACTACCCAACTTTATTCCTTCACCTACTTACAATATATTATATTTATAAAAAAATATTCCTATACTGCTGCTTTTTATTTTTAAATTTTAGACATATGCTGACTTCCTGCTAAGCAAGATGGGGATTTTAACTCTATTACTAATTTTCCATGTTCATTCTTTCTTCCAACTACTTTGCTTATGTCATAATTTTGGTTAAGTCATTGTTCAATATTTACATTTTAATGTGTATATAACTACTGTAACAGCTGAACTATTTTCTTTAATGTGATTATTTTTCCTTTTTCTTAAAATGTTTTATTTTCTTGTTTCATTTAATGTAAAATGCGACTTAGGATATGTGAGGAAAAGGACAAGACAGTCATTTTCAGCTCAACCTTATTGGCCCTTTCTCTTGGTTATTAAGGTGGATTAGTTCTGTAGACTAGCTATACTTGTGGGGTTAAATTTGAGCTTGGTTTATTAAAATTCAAAAACTCCAAAGCATAAACTTATTAAACATATGCTATATATGTATGAATGTGCATACATTATTCTAACAGTAACATTAGATATTTTATAATTTATCTACATATGAGGACTAGAAATGAGTTATGATTTTAAAAACTTTTTAGCAATAGTTTTGCTACAGGCAAATTAAATATTTTTATTTTATTCTTCCTTCAGTTCTTCAGGAATATAGGGATGCAGGCCTATATAGGGCATTTAGAGTAAAATTAGATAATGTGATTCCTAGGCTGGTGAACTTTTCAAAAAATTGTTATTGGAAAATTTAACTTTGTCTTTTAATAACTGTCTTATTTTGTTCTTCGCTTATGAAGCGTGAGAGTGAATGCGTTTTTAAAAAGTCATTTCTTCTAAACTTTCTTTCAGTTGTGAAGTTATTCGAGATTGGAAGACAGGAGAATCCCTTTGTTATGCTTTTATTGAATTTGAAAAGGTAGGTCATAATATAGATCTATTAAGTTTGGTATTTTTTTGTTTTTACATGGTTTTAAAACATGAAAATTATAGAACTTATTCTAGTCCCTAACAGCAGCAGTCGCAGGACAGCACCCTGGAAAGAAAGCTGACATGTAAAAGACATTCATGTTGGGGACACAGAACATGTGTGAAAATGATGATAACCACACAAGATACTTGATCAGTTTAGCACCAAGTGTGGTATATAAAGTATTGGTTCTAGCTTTGCTGTCTATTTGTACTACCTGGAGGGTTTTGCAAAATCCTGATGCCCAGGTGTGTACCCCAGACCAATTACATTGAAATCGAGAAGGAAAAAAGGAAGTCAGGCATCAGTATTTTTTTAAAGCCGGCATCTCAATGCACAGGAACATTTATGCTTAGTTTTTTATATCTATAGGAAGAAGATTGTGAGAAAGCATTCTTCAAAATGGACAATGTACTTATAGATGACAGAAGGATACATGTGGATTTTAGCCAGTCTGTTGCAAAGGTTAAATGGAAAGGAAAAGGTATGGAGGTTTATTTCTTTTTTTTTCTGTTCTGTTTTTCATGCTGTGTGTGCGCGTGTGCGTGTGTGGGTGTATGTATGTATGTATGTGTATTTTACACTGATGATTAATATATTTTCTATGTTTGACTATATTATAAATTACTTTGTAATTACCCATTGCAGGCATGACATTTTTCCAGAGTAATTATTATGTTTGTGGTGGTTTGGTTCTTCTAGATGCAAAACCCTTAATATGTTTTGCCTAAAGTTTGTTGTATGTTTAGAATTTCCTTTAATTTCATGTCTTTCTCTGTGTATATTTTATATACAATCAAAACACCTCCCTGTGTACCTCCAGTTTACTTGTACAGTCAGTCTTGGGCCCTTCTGTAGGAAGCCCTCCCACCAGGAGCATTTCCTCATTTGTGTGGAGGAGACAGGAAAAGCAGGGCAGCCAGCAGGAGTGGGCCATGGGTAGGAGCTGAGTCCTCATCTGGCAGGAGAGTAGGCTTGAGAGTAGAGAGGCTGTATGGAATGCACTCTCCTGTCCTGCCCTGCCACTGTAGGCCAGTCAGGATTTAATAACAGGTCCTATTTTTCTGAAGAGATCATTGTTGACTTAATTTTTGGCTCTTGGGAGGAATAAAGGTGCTCTTAAGCAAGAATTTTAAAGTAGAGACACCAGCCCCTCCCATCTCGCATCTCTCAGCAAACTTCTATACACATCCGGCTGTCCCTGATCTGCTTGGTGCTCTGTTGAGATTTGGGGACATTGTTTCTTTTGACAGATCATAGGTCTTTAAAGCCTCACTTCTTCCAGACTTGTAAGTTTCTTGCATCTCAGACTCAAGTCCCAAACCTTTAGTTTCTCTTGGATCTAATGTTCTCATGGATATATTGGCTTCACTTAAACAATGCATTATTTTCTAGTGCACCTATGTATGCATTGTGTTGTTTAGAATTTGACGGTATGGTGTTGTAATATTCATGTATTTCATTAGGTGGCAGCATATGGCTACAAATTAAAATAGTAATGGAGAAAGAATTATTATGATTTTTTTGTTCTCAGCCTTTTTCTAGCCTCTGATCCCTGATATACACTGAGTGGCCAAATTATTATGATCTCTGGGCGCATAATAATCTGGCTACTCACTGTATATCCTACATAATAAAAGGCTAATATGCAAATTGTCCACTCAACCAGGAGTTCGACCAGCAGGCAGGCCGGCCAACTGCTCATGTCCTTCCCCCCAACCCCCCCAGCCAGGCTGTCCCTGATCTGCTTGGTGCTCTGTTGAGATTTGGGGACAAATCTCATGCACAAATTCATGCACTGGGCCTCTAAAATACACACACACACACACACACACACACACACACACACACACACTGAGTGAGTGGCCAGACTATTATGCATTCAAAGATCATAATAATCTGGCCACTCAGTGTATATGCCACTTATAAAATTGCTCTTGTATATTATACCTCTTATAAAGTAATTTCTGTTCTTGATTAATTAGGGGGTTTTTCTTACTAAGTTTTTTCTTCTTTTTTTTAATAAATAGGTGGAAGATATACCAAGAGTGATTTCAAGGAGTATGAAAAGGAACAGGATAAATCATCTAATTTGGTTCTGAAAGATAAAGTAAAGCCCAAACAGGAGTATCCTTCACAGGAAGCAGTTAGTCATTATGTGTTGACCATGCACTTTGTGTAGAGTACTGTGTGATATGTTATAAAAAGTCACAAAGGCTGTAGAAAAGTCCCTAAGCCAGGGACTTTTCTATATACTGTCTCATATATACTCACTGTCTATATATACATTGCCTTTTCAGTGTATTCTCTATTATGTGGAGAAAGTTAGGGTTGAAATAAATGTTTAGCCTTCTTTTCCCTCCCTACTCTTAGGTTAAAGTTAATACTTATTCGCAGAAGATCTTCAGGTAAGATTCATATTTTCTCTATATAATTGCAATATTTTAAATTCCTCATAGTCAGAAATTTTTTATTATAGCTAACCAAATCCTTTGTGCTAACCTTCCTCGTATGTTTAACTTTGGAGATGGTGAATATGTAGACAGCAAAATCCTGTCGTTCCTTTACATAATTAGGCTGCTTCTTTCTGCTTAGTACATTGTCAGTCTAGCAACAAGTACTTATTGGGCTTCTCTTGTGTGCAAGAGTTGACTTTTATAGGATTAAAGAAATTCATTGACTTGACCATTTTATTTAGGTTTTTTCAAGTTTTAGGTTGAGACAAGTAAGGGGCAATGAAACATACTGTTCATATTATGTCATTTTAATTTTTCATTGATGTTCTCATTATAAATTTATCACTACACACATTGTAAAGCTTCCTTCTTTTATGATTCTTTCTTTAAATGGTTTCTTTGTTTTCTAGTTTCTGTTGCTGTTTTAGAGTTTCTCTTTTCCCATACTGTACATGGAACATTTCTTTTCCAAGTAGTCATCAAGGAAAGATGAATATTGGGCTTACTGTTATGTACTTACTAAAGACCTGGTGCATGAATTCATGCATGGGTGGGGTCCCTCGGCATGGCCAGCGATTGGGGCCAGTTGTGGGGGACAGCCAGCTGGGAAAGGGACTGCGAGAGGTTGGCTGGCTGGCACCCCCTCATCGGGGCTGATTGGGGGTGGAGAGGAGGTGGGACTGTGGAAGGTTTGGCCCCAGCACCAAGCTAACCAATGGCCAATTTGTGAGAAATAGGGCTTCCTCCTCCCTCCTGTCTGGGGCCAGGGTGCAGGTAAACCAGATTCAGGGCTGTCAGGGCCCCAGCAGCAAGGTCTGGATCAGTATGTGTCATAGTTACCAGCCAGTTATTTGGCATTCTCTCCAGCCGCTGGCAGGCACTCGGAACCTGGGCTTCTCTCACAGCCCTGGCTTCGTCCGGAGGTCATCCAGAAGGACGTCCAGTTTAATTAATATTTTACACTTTTTTTTATTATAGACTGGAGGCCTGTTGCACGAAAATTCGTGCACTTGGGCAGGGCGGGGGTGTTCCCTCAGCCCAGCCTGCACCCTCTCACAGTCTGGGACCCCTTGGGGGATTTTCAACTGACAGCTTAGGCCTGCTCCCAGGGGGGATCAGGCCTAAACTGGCAGTCAGATATCCCTCTGGCAGCCCGGGAGCCCTCGGGGAATGTCCAACTAATGGCTTAGGCCTGCAGGGAACAGACCTAAGCCATTTGCTGGACATCTCTAGCGCTGCCTCGGAGGCAGGAGAAGCTCTCACCACCTTCGCTGCACTGGCCAGCCATGAGCCAGCTCTGGCTGAGCAATGCTTCCCCTGTGGAAGCGCACTGACCAGCAGGGGCAGCTCCTGCGTTGCGTATTTTTCCCCTGTGGTCAGTGCATGTCATAGTGACCGATTGTTCCTGGTCATTCTGCCATTAGGGTCAATTTGCATATTACCCTTTTATTATATAGGAGGATAGATTTTTAAAACAGTGTTGATTGTTTACAATAAATAAAGCATTCTAGGGGTTAGAGTGGGTAAAGTCTGCAGTATGTATGCCGACATAATCAGCATGAGGAGAGGCTTTCACTTGCCAACAGACCAAACAGTGAGCTAAGATTTAGTTTAAAAAGATAAACATCAGAGAGGATATGATTGAAATCTTAAAATCATAAAAGGTATGGATGAAATATAGTTGAGATTTATTTATCAAATCTTTAAAATTAACTATAGTTAATTTTAGGATAAATACTAGTAACTGTAGCTGGAAGAAGAGGAGTGTGTAGGACAAATCAAAGGAAGTACAGTCATAAAGTATCAAGTAGAAGCAGGCGTCTTACCCCATAGAATTAGCTCAGGCTCAGAAGAAAGAGTATGTGGTATTACAGTGTTTTGAATTCAAGAAGATAGGTTACTAAGAGTGAAGCAAGGAAATGAGGCATGTTTGAGAATAAACCTCTAGCCCAGTCCTGTCCAATAGGACTTTGTACAGCGATGGAAACCTACTATATCTCCACTGCCTTGATAGCTACTGACGTGTTTAATGAATTTAAATTTAAACAATTACAGTGAACAGTGCCTGCTTTAGGCTTTTGAAGTTGAGAGAAAAGACGGACATGTCCTGGTGTAAACCACTGTTAATCATCCTCAATCGGAATATTGAACAAGAAAAAGGAAATTCATGAGTCTAACCCTGAACTCTGTTTCCTGTCCTGTTACTAAAACAATGCTGGCTGTGACCCACTAAATGGACTTTGCACTCCATTACTGGGTCATGACCAGCATTTTGAAAATCATCTCTCTACAGCCTTTTGGACAGAGGGAGAAACATGTGAAAAGCTACACACTGAGGTGAAATCATAGGCAAGGACTATTGAATTTGTATCTGAAAAAGGAGAAGATCCAGAGGTATCCTAGAAACAGTGTGATATGGTGTGCCATAGCGTAAAGGAGAAAGGAAGTTAGACATAAGAGAGTAATAGTAAGACAGTGCAGGCTGACTAGCCATCTTACGAAAGTGAAAAGGTGCAGTGGTTTCCTGGTTAACCTGAGGTAGAAGTGAGTCACCACGGAGGAAAGCATAGACTGTGGCATCGTGGAAACGGATAGGACACTGGTCCCTAGGGAAGTGTGTCTGCGATTGCGCTAGGCCCACATGCCGCCAAAATAGCCCTGCGTGCGGGCCTTCCTCATACGCTTTCTTTTGAAAACCACTCTTCCAGCCTTCCTCAAAATCTGTTTGAGAAATTGAGATTATTTTCAGCAGAGGTTATAGTAGTTTATATTTTCTTTTATTCTAAGACATGGGTTAGTTTTATTTATATTAGAGAAAATACCTACCTCTGTATTAAAACATTACCACTATTTTTATAACATATTTATGTGGAATTTAAAAAAAGTAGTCATTGTTCTACCATCTAGACAAATGATACTTATTTTTCCTTATTCCTTCAAGATTTGATCTTTGTAAACTTATAATCACTGTATGGTATATATGGTTTTTGCTTTGAGCTTTTTTCACTTTTAATTTTTCAGGAACACCTTCCCAGGTTTTTCATAGCATTAATTTATCATTGTTAATAACTTATTATATAAAATATCATGTTGAAGTACTATAATATAATTGAATCAATAGTTATTACTAGGCTATTTGATGTTCCTAGTTTATCATTAAAAATAATCCTATTATGTATACCTTTGTTCATTTGACTTATTTAATTTTTTACATTAAATCTTTATTGTTGAAAATATTACATATGTCCCCCCTTACTGCCATTGACCCCTTCTACTCACCCCAGTCCCCCGCCCCAGGCCTCCAGCACCTTACTGTCTGTGTCCCTAGGTTATACATATATGCATACAAGTTATTTGGTTGCTCTCTTTCCACCCACCCCCGCCTTTCCTCTGAAATGCCACAGAATTTTTATAAATTCTTATTTGTATTTAAGCATAGTAACTGTTGGCATGCACTGCTAAATTTCCTCCTAGCAGGTGAGCTAATTTGCTCCTCCGAAGAAGAGTTACATGAATGTACCTTTTATCTTACGTAGCTTTTCTGGCTCTGGAGTTTGTATTATCTTAATTTTTTCCAGTTAAACATGTGCCTCATTTTCTAAGTTTAGGTTTTCTCATTATTGACAAATGTTTCCTTATTTTTCAGATGCTTATATTTTAATTTGTGGATATTATATGTCCCCCTCCATATTTTTTGCCCACTTATAATTGTTAACTGCCTATATTCAATCATGGGTTTTTTTCCATTTTTTTCTATGTAATGAGGGGAAAAAAATGAATCTATTTTGTTTTAGAAATAAACTATACTTGTAAGATGCTTTTATTTTAAAAAGTTACCTTTAACTTCTTGGTCTCCTTTGTTCACCAGATTCTTAGGTTTTGATGTATTGCCTATATTCCTTCTCAAGCTTGTCCTTAACTAGCTGCTACAGTGCCAAGTATGATCTTATATTAGAGGAGCAGACAGAAGACTCAAAGTCAAGTCACTCACACACAAGTAAAAAACACAAGAAGAAAACCCGTCACTGCTCTGAAGAAAAAGAAGATGAGAACTACGTGCCAATCAAAAATACTAATCAGGTACTGCTAATGTCCAGACCCAGCTGTGGAGAAATAAATATTTTATCCCTTTATAAATCACATCATAGTGATGGGTGTGTTCTAAGTCTAAAGTGTAGAATGGTTTCACTGGGTAATGAACTTTAATTTTTAAGAATGTATATCACAAATTATAAAGATTGCTTTTGAATTAACTTAGTATACAGTTTCCCATTGTGGAGCGCATGATTTCCATACCACCTGTGGACACTCCTTTGTTCCCATGAAAGCAAGTGTGGTTGTGCTCAAACAGTTCTCACTTACTGTTTTATCACCAAGTGTTGTGTGCTGCACCTAAAACTCTTTTTAAATATATATATATATTTTTTATTGATTTTTTTACAGAGAGAAGGGAGAGGGATAGAAAGTTAGAAACATTGATCAGCTGCCTCCTGCACAACCCCTACTGGAGATGAGTCCACAACCAAGGTACATGCCCTTGAACCTGAGACCTTTCAATGGCTGATGCTCTATCCACTGAGCCAAACCAGCCAGGGCCACTTAAAACTCTTAAGAGTTTAGGATCTGTAAAACGTTTATTCCCTTTTGTATTGTATCTATGAAATGAAAACAGTACTCATAATTGAGCATCTGAAAGCTTTCTTTAACAATGCATTTTCTAAGACAATAATAGTTAAAGTTCCCCCAAAGAAAATTGATTATAAAGAGAAGAAAGCATGTCCAAATTGCATTTTGGCTCTTAGTTAAATGAAAAACAAACTACAGTGCAGCTCCTGCTTTTGTTTGCCATGTGAAGGCATCTGGGCTCTGGTGGAGGAGGAGGTGCCGTAGGCCCAGGTGAGAAGGAACTCAGGATAGGGAGGGTGTCAGGCAGAGACACTATGGAGAGATGGGGTATGGTTGGCAGAAAAGCCAGGTGTAACTTTCCACACTGCTCGGCATTGGTGTGACTTCAGCAAGTTACTTACTTTTCTGAACCACAGCTTCCTCTCTGTGAAACTGAGATAATACTTATTTCACAGGCATGTTCTTCAGACTTAATGAAAAAAAAAAAAAAAAATGTGTGCAATCATTTTCTACACTGGCTTTTGTTACTATTTTTACTTAAATAGTCAGATTACAATGTTTTAAATCAGTTGGAGTACTTTCTCTGTGGTTATGCCATTAATTGGATTCATATCACATAAAAAATTTTTTAAGGATTGCTTTAAAATTTTTTGTTAGTTTTAAAAATCATTTATATGGTTCCAAAGTAAAATCTACAAAATGGCACAGAATTGAGCTTCTATTCCTGCCTTCTCCACCTTTCCTCTCCTCCTCACTCCCCGCCTTGTATAAAATAAAACCATTTTAATATGTTTTATTCTTCATTTTAAAATTTTTCAACAAGCATATATTTTATATATATTCTTAGCCCCTTATTTTCTAGATATAGATATTCTTATTCTTTGCTGTTGTCTAACCAGAGGTAAACCTTCTCCTTTCCACAGCCCTTTAGCTATGTAAAGCTTGCCCTCCTTCATGCCCTGGCTTCTGTTTTTAAGTTACACCTTTGTCAGTCCTTTAAATGATCCGCACATGAATCAGTAATCACTCACATCTTCAGAGTTTTAACAGTCAATGGATACTGTTGGCCCTGTTTCACAACAAAGACAGTGAACACGGAAGAGGTGAAGCAGCTTGCCCATAGTTTTACAGCTCATAAATAGTGGAGGCACAATGTAAGTTCAGGCTTGTACTAACAACTCTACTGCTGTTCTTCTTAGCTGGAATATACTATTATTTGTCAGTTTTCTTTTCTAAATGTTATTAGTTGAATAAAATTTGCCCCATAGTGTAATATTTTAGTGTGATCTAATAGGAACATCTCTCTTCTAATGTTTGTACTCTATTATAAATTTATCTTTTTTTGTTAATATATTTTTATTGATTTTAGAGAGGAAGAGAGAAACATCAATGATGAGAGAGAATGATAGGCTGCCTCCTGCCACCCCCAACTCAGGATCAAGCCCAAATATAGGTTGAGGGTCAACCTTTGAGCCACACTGGCCAGCCTACTTAGCTTTTTAAATGGTGGCTATATTACATTTCTATGAATATGTAATGTTTTTCACTAAAAACCCTTAATTATCGCTCCCGTCCCATGTATCCTTCAGCCACAGCTCACCATCCTGCACTAGTACATGGAATCGTCAGTGAATCTAGGCCTGAGATACATACTGGTGTGTCTGAGATGAGGTTTAAAGAAAATCCAGACTGGCTGCATTTTAAGTCTGTTATTTCTTCCCCTTATTATGAATCTTTTTAAAAAAAATTCTCATCCAAGGATATGCTTATTGATTTGAGAGAAAGAAAGGAAGGTTGGCGAGGGTAGAGAGGGAAAAGTGAGAGAAAGAGAAAGAAACAGATTAGTTGCCTCCTATAGGTGCCTACTACAACCTAGACCTATACCCAAGCGGGAATTGAGTCTGAAACCTTTTTGTTGTATGAGACAATCAAACTGAGCCACCTGGCCAGGGCTTATGCATCTTTTCTATCCTGCTGTTCGCTTACTTAAAACTTTACATGAGCAATTATCCTCATTTGGCACAGAGTAAAAAGCTTCAAGTGAAATTTGGGGGAATACTGTTGTTGGTTTTTAGGGAATATTAAGGTAGTTGGCAACTATAAAATTGTTAAATTCCAAATAGTAATCTCCTAACTTTATTTCTCCTTTTAAAGTGTATTAAAGCCCATGGGTGTTTTTTAATTGAGGAAACATTGGTTAATAACATAATTTAAATTTCAGGTGTATAACATTGTAATTTGCTATCTGTGTACACTATAGTGGGCTCACCAGTCTAGTTTCTAGTTGTTACCATAAGTTTGACTGCCTTTACCAATTTTGCCCGCCACTACCTTCTACCCCTCTGGTAACCACCAATCTGTTGTCTGTATCTTTGAGTTACAATAAATGTTTTTTATTTTACATTTTCATTTAATAATATAGCTATCCTAACTTTTTCTTCCTATTTTTTATAATAAAACAACATCCATATATGTAAGATTTAAGTGGGCCCCAATTTTTTCTATGACTCTGATGCTCATCCTTATGATTTCAGTCTCAAAAAAATAATCATTAAAGGGAATTTTCAATAATAGGTCATTTCTGTGTATGGCTCAACTTTTTCATTTGTTGCCATTTTGCTTGGTGAGCATCATTTCCTAAGAATGTTTTAACTTATTTAAGTTCTTTGTTTTTTATTTAGTGGCAACCTTATTGTTCAATTTGAAAAGTTCTCTATTTAAATTTTCCACCTGCGTCTTAATCCCAAAGGTGGTTGCTGTGTTGTTGAGGTTTGGGTTTTGCTAGAGTTACAGGAAATTAGTCCTCAGCTGTGGGTTGCCTGGCTCAGATGTATTCATACTGGTTGTCAGTCCTCTGTGGTTTTCATAGGTGTTTAGTAGTCTTATAATTTGGGACTCTATTTTTGCTGTCATTTTAATCCTTTAATGTTATTTTAGTGATTTAGATGTAGCTAAATCTTTGATTTAATTTCAGTGACCAGAGCAAGGATAATTTTTAGTTAAGTTAAACTTTTTTTTTTACTTTGAAATCAAGGATTGGGTTGGTTATTTAAATTGGCCAGTTTATGTTTTCTTTTTAGACACTTGCTAGTTTAATCATCTTGTCTTATGCCTTAAACGTACAAAATGATAGAATTGTTTAAAGTCTGTACTGGAAAAGACTTAGAGCTCGTCTAATTCGTTTCCTACACCTTAGATATGAGAGCCTGGCCCCACAGGCCATGGACTTACAGTTTAATGGGTAAGCTGGAGTTTAATGTTTATTTTGATTCAGTCAGGTGTGGGTTTTCTTTATTATTCTTTATCACCCCCATTTCAATTTTATATTCCAATTATTGATCAATTAAATCATTACTTTCAACCTGGGCAGACCTCAAGTGCCAGTTTTCTTATTTCCAGAATGAGGACGATCTTGTACTCCAAAAGCACTTAGCACTGTGCTAGCCCATATTTGAGGGCCTGTTCTAATGTGGCTTCTTCCAGGCACCTGCACTTTCTCCTTCATGCTCTCAGTGCTAATTCTTCCTTGCTTTTCAGTTCTCACTTACACTGCTTGCACTAACCTTCCCACTGCCAATCCAACCCAAACCCTCTCAATCTTTGAGGCTCATTTCAAGTTCTAACTTTTCTATAAAACCTACTCTGATAAACCTAATCTCAAGAAATGACAAAGACCATCAGAACCTAAAGCTGCCTGACTTCAAAGCTTGTTTAGCTTTGAAATTACTCCAAGTTGGAGAGGTTTTAAGGTTTCAGTCCATTTCAGATTTTCAGGTTCTTCAATTTTTTCAAATAATTAAGTACTACATACCCACCCCACTTCTCTCATTTTAAACTCTTTAGGCATTTAAGTGCCATTATATAAAATGTTCTAGAGATTTTATAGAGTTATACATCAGCTAACTGTCTCTTTAGGTTAAAAGTTTACTGTCTCAACCAATTCAGAAAATAGGTGTCCAGACAGAATTGTACATGGCTACATTTTATATATGTTATAAGAAGCACAAAAATTATTTTATCTAAGGATGGAATATTTTGTTAGGAAATAATTAGGAAAGGGTTAAACCAAATACTGATTCATGATAAGAACCATAGGGATTGTGTGGGAAATAAAGAATTGGTTAGTAATGTTGTATTTCACAAACACCGATTATAGTGATCACATTAGATCTCTATTCACATACTGCAATCTCCATGTCAGGCGTAATGTACAGTCTCTAGACAGCTATGGAATAACTGAATAATTTTCTTAAAATTTAGTCTTTAACCAGGGGTATCCATTACAGTAGATTTTGAACCTTGACATTTACATCTACTTTATAATATCTATGGTGATAGAGGCAAGACCCTTGGGAGTTCAGTCCCTAGGATTTTCCTTTCCTCTGAAAAACTTTTTAAGAAAGTTGAATTTTACACACTATCTCTTGAAAGAGCACTGGCTCTGGTCACTTTAGATTTCAGCCTCTTGCTGAGAGAACTCATTTTAATTAAGGGCAGAATGCAAGCAGAAATAGAATTTTAATCTGTCCTCTCCTATTTGGGAAAAATACTATTGCTACTTAATATAAAGAATAAAACCTTTTGGGGGAGTGGATAAGGGGGAGGTGGAGAGGTAACTGTATATAACCAGAATTTTTAATACTGCAGTTTTGCTCTAAAGACTTCTCTAATTTCAATTGGGCAATTTCAGTTTTTTATTTTTGGTTCTGTTCCTTCAGTTTGGCTGAAATAGATACAAACCAGTGAGACTGATTACAAAAATGGTCAAATCTTTTTCTGAATTATTTTTGCTTTTTAATTTACAAAATGTCTGGCATTAGTGGTAGTGTTCAAATTTGAGCCATTATAACTGCCTGCTAATGGAGGGCTTGTCTATAAGTTTTATTAGCTGGCAGTGATTTTATGAATTCACTTATAATTCTCTTTATTCCTCTGACAGGATATCTACAGAGAAATGGGGTTCGGTCACTATGAAGAAAAAGAAAGCTGTTGGGAGAAACAAAAGAGTGAAAAGAAGGACCGACCTCAAAACCGAAGTCGTAGCCGATCTCGAGAAAGGGATGGTCACTACAGTAACAGCCACAGATCCAAATACCAAACAGATCCCTCTGAAAGAGAAAGGAGTAGAAAGAGAGACCGAAGCAGGAGTCCCAGGAAATCCAAAGATAAAGAAAGATCTAAGTACAGATGAAACATGAAGAATCAGACATGAGTGGCTAAAATACTCTTGTCTAACTAGAATAGCAGATGTTCAGATTTTGTGTCAAAACAGCTAAAGACTCTGCTTGTTTTCCCCCCTGTATTCTAGGTGTCCCCTTTATAGATCAATAATGATTGTGTGGGGCACAGAAAGACAATAAAGAATTGAACATTTTCTTGTATATTTTTTTACACTAATTTTATTGTTAAACATAAATAGTAGTCTTCATTTTTCAATAGTAGTCTTTCACATTTTCCACTTTTTATTGTAAAAATGAAGTATTTCATATCTATAAAAACATGCATGTATATATAAGGTATTAAAAATAATTATCTTTGTACCTATCAGCCAGATTAGGAAATGAGCATTTTGGAAGTCCCTCTCCTCAAGTAATTAATATGAATTTTGTGTTTGTTATTCTCTCACTTGTTCTAGTTTTACAATATATGTATCCCTAAATGAAATATAAAGTTTTGTATGTTTTTGAATTTTATATAAATGGCTTAATGTATGCTCAGTTCTATGACTTGCTTTTTTTGACTTAGTAATTTTGGGAGTTACTAATTTTTTAGTGCCGTACAGTTCTATGAAGAGACCGCAGTTTATCCGTCCTGCTGTGGAGGGATGTTTGGGTTTTGATGGTTTTGTTTTTGCTATTGCAGACAATGCTGCTATGAACATTGTATATCTAGGAGGGACACTGCTTGGCCATGTGGTATGGAAGTCTTCATTTTATAAGATAATGTAACTCTTCTGCATGGCTGTACCAGTTTATACCCTACCAGCACTATGTGAGTTACCTTTCTTTCACATTTTCTCCAACACTTCTTAATTCTTTTTGTTTTGCCAATCTCGTGGAGGTTAACTGGCATCTTATTGTGGTGTCCAGAAAGAGCACTATTAGTCCTATCTTTGTTCTTCTGTAAGTAATGTGTCCTTTTCTCTATTTCTATCTTTGTTTTTGTTTGTCTACATGTAATGTGCCTGCTTTTACCTTTTTGAGTTTTAAGCAGTTTGATTATGATGTGCTTGGAGTATTTTTTTTTTTCTTCATGTTTCTTCTGCTGGGGCTCTTTATCTGAGGTTTTATGGTTTTCATAAAATTTGGAATATGTTTGGCTATTATCTGTCTATTATTATTATTATTATTATTATTATTATTATTACTACTACTACTATCATCTTTCCTGTCCTCTCATTGCTTTCTCTCTGGGACTCCAATTGTATGTTAGGCCACATTAAATTGTTTCATAGTCTCTTATTTTTTCTTAAAAGTCTTTTCTCTTTGTATGCCAAGTCAGACATTTTTCATTATGTCCTCAAATTCATCAGTCTTTTCTCCTGAAGTATCTGATGTCTTGTTAATCCCACTCAGTGTATTTTTGACCTTGGACATTCTATTTTTAAATTTTTTTTGTTGTTAATCCTCACCTGAGGATATTTTTCTATTGATTTTTATTTTTAAGAGAGAGTGGAAGGGAGGGGGAGAGACAGAGAGAAACATTGATGTGAGAGAGATATATCACAGGTTCAACCAAGACCAGGGATCGAGCCTACAATTGAGGTATGTGCCCTTGACTGGAATCACAGTTCACAGGCCAATGCTCTATCCACTGAGCCAAACTGACTAGGGCTGACATTATATTTTTAATCTTTTTAGAAGTTTCATTTTGCTTTTTTATTTTTTATTTTTAAATATCTTTATTGATTTCAGAGAGGAAGGGAGAGGGAAAGAGATAGAAACATAATGATGAGAGAGAATTATTGATCGGCTGCCTCCTGCACCTCCCCGAATGGGGATCAAGCCCACAAGCCAGGCATGTGCCTTTGACTGGAATCAAACCCGGGACCCATCAGTCCAAAGGCTGATGCTCTATCCACTGAGCCAAACCAGGTAGGGCTCTTTTTTTTTTTTTTTAATTTACCACAAAAGGCCCAGTGCATGAAATTCATGCAGGGGGGGTTCCCTCAGCCCAACCTGCACCTTCTCCAATCTGGGACCCCTTGAGGGCTATCGGAAATCCCTCTCACAATCCAGGACTGCTGGCTCCCAATCGCTTACCTGCCTCTGCCTGATTGCCCCTAACTGCTTCTGCCTGCTAGCCTGATCACCTCCTAGGCACTCACCTGCCAGCCTGATCAACACCTAACTGCTCCCCAGCCAGCCTGATTGCCTCTAACTGCCCTCCCCTGCTGGGCCTGGTCACCACTAACTGCCCTCCCCTGCCAGTCTGGTCACCCCTCACTGACCTCACATGCTGGCCTACTCACCCCTAACTGCGCTCCTCTGAAGGCCTGGTCTTCCCCAACTGCCCTCCTCTGCTGGCCTGGTCACCCCTAACTGCTCACAACTGCCCTCCCCTGCAGGCCATCTTGTGGTGACCATCTTGTGTCCAAATGGAGGCAGCCATCTTAGATGGCGGTCAATTTGCACATTACTCTTTTATTAGATAGGATGTCTTTCCTTAACATGCTTGTGCATTTTTTTTATATTTTGAACATCTGGAGTATCTTTGTAATAGGTGTTTTAATGTTCTTGTGCATTCTGTCATTGGGTGGTTTCTGTTGGTTGATCTCCCCCTCAACCTGCCCCCTCATTGGATTATAATCTCTGCATGCTTGATTTTTTAATTTTACTTTGTTAGGTGCTAGAGTTTTTTATATTCCTTTAAATTGAGATTTATTCTGGGACACAATTAAGTTACTTGGAAGCAGTTTGATCCTTTCATAGCTTCCTGTTAAGCTTAATGAGGTAAGACTAGAAAAGCTTTAGTTAGGGCTAATTCCAGATAAGCCTTAGGTAAAAACCTTTCTGTATAATCTGCCCTGCGTCTGGTCTGGTATGCGGTTTTTCCATTCTGGCTGTTGGGAATGAAAGCTATTCTAAACCCTGTATGAACTCTCTGGTTGTGTCAAAAATGTTACTTTTAGGTGTTGGTTTGTTTTTTTAATCTAAACTCAATCAAAGTTCATGCACTGCATGTTGTTCTTGTCAGTTTATTCTGTTAATCTTCAAGAGTTTCCTACCCATCCATCCATCTCTACCTCCCTTCTTTTTAATGATGTTGACATATGTTTAAATTTATTGTTGAAAGTATTACAGATGTCCCTTTGACATTGACTTTTTGAAGAGTTCAGGCCAGTTGTTTTGTAAAATGTTCCATTTCTGGAATTGATAGTAGCATCATGGTGTCTTCTAACCTCTTTATTTCCTGTAAACTGGAAGTTAGGACTAGGTGTCTGATTAGAATTGGGTTTTATATTTTAGGTAGAAATGTTTAAGTTTAATGCCAAATTTATTTGCTTTTCTCAGTGTGTTTTGGGCCTTTTGTATTTTGTTTAAGAAATCCTTAATAAAGATACTCTATATTTTTAAAGTTATAAAGCAAGCTTTGGTTTTTTACATTTAAATATTTAATCCTCATTAAATTTTGTGTGTTGTGTGTGTATGGTGTGCTATTGAGATCCAAATTCACTTTTTTTTTTAACCTATGGGTAGTCCAACTGTCCAAACCCCATTAATGAATGTTTTGTCTATTCCTGGTTGACCTACAGTTCCATTTCTCTCATATACATTTCTGTATAGATGTTTGGATTTTGTTTTATGGGCTCTCTATGCCATTGGTTTTTGTTTATCCTACTGCCAATACCAAAAATCTACATTTCTGTAGCTTTATAGAAAGTATTTACATAATCTCCTCCCCTCCCCCCCATCTCATTAGGAATGCCTTTACCATTTGTTCTTGTTCTGGGCATCTGTGGAACCAACTTCTCAGGTTTTCCAAAGAATTCTGTTGGGACTAATTACCTTTGCATTCAAATGGTTGATCATTTTGTGGAGGGTAAATCTTCATAATATTGAATTTTCATAAAGATAGCATATCCTTCCATTTGGTTATTTAAATTCGTAGAATTTCCTTTGTAAAGCTTTTGAACTTTCTTTGTTAAATTTACTCCTAGTTTCCTTATCCTTATGTTCTATCATAAATAGTATCACTTAAAAATATGATTTTCTCTTTCCTGACCTATGAATTTACATATATATTTTTAACTTTTTATTTTGAGATAATTTTAGATTTTTAAAAGGGTTAAAAAAATAAAAATGTGTGTAACATCCTGTGCAGGGGCCATGCTAATCGTCTTTGTAGCATTCCAATTTTATTTGCTGCTGAAGTGAGTTATAGTTTTCATTACATTCCACCCATTTTACTAAATTTAAGACCTGTAAGGTTTTGGGGGGTCTTTTATGTGAGCGATAAGTAATATCTGCAAATAATATTTTTCTTCATTATTTTAAATTTACTTAAAAATATGTATACATGCACAATGTAAAACTATCAGGGAAAACAAGTCTACTTTTAAGGTCTATCCCGACCTCCATCATTGCAGAGCTGGGAAGGTGCCTGCAGAAGTTTTATTCTAGCCTTCTAGTCACCTGACTGTATGTGAAGATTTTATTTAAAAATTTTTTTTTTAAATAATGTATTTTTATTTTAGAGAGAGGAAGGGAGAAAAAAAATCCATGTGAGAGAGAAACATTGATTGGTTGCTTCCCGCATGCACTTGCAACATAGGTATGTGTCCTGACGACCTTTTGGTGCACAGGATGATGCTCAACCAACTGAGCCACACTGGCCAGGGCTTATGTGAAGGTTTTAGACTCAGCTTCCCAACTTTCTTTGAGGCCCCAAGCCTAGTCTTCCTCAGCCCTCCTCCTCACTCTTGGCCTGAGGCTTTTAGCCCCCAACCTCTGCACTGTCTGTAATTCTGAGCCAGCAATAGAGGAAATGGTAATGACATTACATAAGAAACGATCACCCCCACCTGGCTGGTGTGGCTCAGTGGTTGAGCATCGACCCAGGAACTAAGAGGTTGCGGATTCGATTCCTGATCAGGACACATGCCTGGGTTATGGGCTCCATCCCCAGTAGGGACCATGCAGGAGGCAGCCAATTAATGATTTTCATCGATGTTTCTATCTATCCCTCTCCCTCTCTCTTTAAAAATCAATAAAAATATATTAAAAAATATATTTCCCTGAATAGAGAAAGATAAACATTGTCCTACAGAAGACTCTAACATGTGGCCTTAAGGAAGGAGCAAGGGAGAAATAATGGTTGAATGTGAAAGAAGTAGTGAGAAGAAATAACTTACTGATTTCTAAAACTTGAATTCAGTAGGTTTAGTGGGAAAAATAAAGGTAGTAAAAATTTCTGTATGTAGCTTTTCAAGGAAAGATTATCCTTAATTGCAAAAGCTGACATTTTAGGTATAAAAAACTGTCGTTTTAACAAGAGATGTATGTATGGAAACAAAGTTCTGTTAACAGGAAGTGATTTTAATAGTGATGGCTTCTAACCACCCTTGACTTACAGGGCAGTCTGGTACTCTATTACTACTCTCTCTCTCTCTCTCTCTCTATATATATATATATATATATATATATATATATATATTTTATTGATTCTTTACAGAGAGGAAGAGAGAGGGATAAAGAGTTAGAAACATCGATGAGAGAGAATCATCGATCAGCTGCCTCCTGCACACCCCCTACTGGGGATGTGCCCACAACCAAGGTACATGCCCTTGACTGGAATTGAACCTGAGACCTTTCAGTCTGCAGGCCGACGCTCTATCCACTGAGCTAAACCAGTTTCAGCTCTGTACTACTATTAACATCTAACTTTAAGTGACCATGTGATTTTAAAATTAAAATTGTTCACTCATTATATCTTGCTACAAGGTTTCAGGTTGATCTCTTTAAAAATTTTTTAAATTGATTTTAGAGATGAAGGGAGAGAGAGAAAGAGAGAGAGAGAGAGAGAAAGAGAGAGAGAGAGAGAGAGAGAGAGAGAGAGAGAGAGAGAGAGAGAGAGAAACATAAATGATGAGAGATAATAATTGATCAGCAATCTCCTGCATGCCCCACAGTGGGGCTCAAGCCTGCAACCTGGGCATGCGCCCTGACCAGGAATCGAACCATGATCTGGTCCATTGGTTGATGCTTGTCCACTGAGACATGCCGGCCGGGCTGGGTTAATCTCTTTTACCAGTTGAAATTGGAAAGATTTTCGTCTGAACTATTAAAGGCTCAAAGTAGAGAAACTTTCAAGTTTATACTCACACAAATGTTTTTAAATACACTTGTTTCTTTTTAGTTATTGAAATACATTTCATATCTGTTTTCCACTGATCATAAGAAGTTTTCATCTCAAGTTTGACATTTCTTACCCATCTAGACTAAGTCACACAGAATGCATAATAGATAGTAAAATCGAAATCACAGAGGCCTTACCTTTCAGTGGCTGTTGCTATGAAACTCTGTTTTGATGGGAAATTCTAGAGAAGCTTGTGCTTCCTGTTATTAAACGATAGAATATGGAGATCCCCTTAATTTTCAAAAAAAAAATTCTCTCCTTTTTTAAGCAAGTAATCTCAATTCTTGCTATTGTGGCAATCTTTATTCTTACCCGATCTTACCCCATAGGGGACTGCTAGTTAGGGTTAATTTTGTTTGCCTCCTCTTCTATTCCTTGTGTATCAAATGGGCAGATGGGCAGGGGTTTTGAGAGGTGTTTTATGCGCAGTTAAAAATGTGTAGTGCTTTTATTTTATTTAGGACACTAAGTAGCTCAAGACACCTAAAGGGTTGCAAATATGGCAACACACTAGCAAGAGAGCTGGAATAAAAAGAGAACTTCAGAAAGTGCGGCTTTGTTGTCATGGATCTCGAATGAGACCACACTCACCTGTGGTTCTGGAAAAAGAGAAAAGTTTTGTTTTGTTTTGTTTCTCCAAGGGCATCTTGGTTTGGTGGACAGAGCTTGGGATTCTGAGTCAGAAAACGTGAGTCAAGAGCAGGGGCAAGATGGAAAGAAGAACAAGGTGATGGTGTGACTGAAGAGAGGAAGGAAGAGTGGTGAGCATCGGAAGGGAGGAGGACATTAGGGAATTTCTGAATGCAGAGCTGAGAAGCATGGGTTTGCTTTTTCAGGCAGCAGGAAAGTAGAACGTATTCCTGGGGAAAGATGTGGTGGCACTGGGGAGTTGAGAAAAGTTACTCTGTATACAGGCTCTTCCCCAAGGGCCAGCCCTCCATTCCTCGGATGGCATTGCCTGGCATTCATTCACTGTCTGTGGACAGCCCCCAATCCAGACTCCTATCAAAGCCAGCTTCCCAGGGGAGACGATGTGGAAGCCATGACCTTGTGCGTTAGTAGCCATGTTGCTGCAGAATGAGAATGTGGAATGTGCACCACAACAATACACTTTAAAGTCTTGCTATCTTTGCTACATATCACTCATATGGCATTATAGAAAGTAGTGCAAATATCTTGGTCAGGGATGGACATCCTGTTAGGAGGACTCTGAGGTGGTGCAGGGTCAGAATGAAGACTGGCTTGTTGGCGGTGCTCCCCTTAGCCTGCGGTAAGTGTTCCCCTTAGCCTGCGCTGTAGGAAGTGTGGCGAGGGCTGGCCTGCGGTCCTGAGAACAGGCCCTTGTCTGGCACGTGGAGGGCGCCTCCCGAGTGGAAAACTGGCCTTGCAAATTCTGCAGTCTCAGCAGACAGCAGGAATGCGTTTTAAAGTTATGTTTCTTTTTAAATATATATATATATTATTGATTTATTTTTATTTATTTATTTTTTTTACAGAGAGGAAGGAAGAGAGATGGAGAGTTAGAAACACTGATGAGAAAGAATCATCGATCAGCTGCCTCCTGCACACCCTCTACTGAGGATGTGGCCACAACCAAGGTACATGCCCTTTACCGGAATTGAACTTGGGACCCTTCAGTCCACAGGCCAATGCTCTATCCACTGAGCCAAACCGGTTAGGGCAAAAGTTATGTTTTATTATTACGTTGACAAGTGGTAGCTGTTGTTAGAAAAATCCATCGAAGCTCGAATGAGTGCTCAAAGTGACTGTCTTAATCTAGCTTCCTACCAAAATGTTCCTTTTTCTATTGGTTTCAGATTGTACTTTTAATCTTTCGTCAACAGTCCCATTCTGTATGTGTTTTAATCTACTATTGTAGATGGCCTCAGCTCTTCTCTGGGAGACAAATGGGGAGTAAGAAAAGAAGAGAAGCAGATCCCAGTTAACCGTGTGCCATGCTTTCTTCCTCGGCACCCGCCCAGTTTCTAACCCAGCCCGACCCCCTGGCTGACTGCCTGTCCTTGGACCGGTCACCCTGGAGGAGAGTGTGCCCCATGATGGACTGCTGCAGGGCCCCAGCAGAGGCTGCTGCCTGTAAATTCCCTCAGGGACTGTCTAATTGCCCCCTCACCTGTGCCCCAGCCAGGTGTGCTGGTTCCTGGGACAGGCCATTGCCCACCCAGGCAAGTACGTAAGGCATTTTGCCCCTATCTGGGGTGGGTCACGCCCAGTTTCCCTACTCACCCTGCTCTGTTCTAGATCATTCTTTAGTGCCTGCCACTCAGGAAGGAGGCTGTTTCTTCATCTTGCCACGATGCCCCCCGTAAGGTCCCTTAATAAACGGTGTAGGGGTAGAATGGCCAGCCTCTCTGGTCTTGGGCACGTCAGAGGCACTGTGTTTTGTCGGGAGGTGGGCTACTGTGTGGTTTGATCCTGTTCTGTGTCTTATTCTGATCCCTGATGGGCATCCCCAAGTGCAGGAAATAAACGCAGAGTTTGGGGTCTATTTGCCCAGATGCACTGAGGCAGCAGGCTGCTGTGGTCAGGTGGGCCTGGGGTCAGGGTCCCAAGCCTCAAGGACAGAGAAGCAGTCTCCTACCTCTTGCAGGGCTGCAGGGACCTGTGCCCAGGGTCATATCCCCACAGAGGCAAGTAGCCTGGTCCCCCAGCCCACAGGACGTGGGGCCTTCCTAGGGACTCTGTGACGGAGGGACAGGGTCCTTCCCCAGGCCCATGGCCCTGGGCACCCTATCTGCCCAGCCGCTTCTGTGTGCTGCAGTCCTCTGTAGGAAGCTGGGAGCCCGGACTGGTCTCCGGGGCCTGTGGGCTCAGCTGTAGCCAGGGTGGGAACTCGGAGCGGAAGTCCCCCCCTCACCCCGTTAGCGCCCCAGCCCCTCCTGGCTTTCCTGTGCTGCCGGCCAGGGGCCAGGGCCCTCACCCAGGGCTCTTTTGCATGTGGTTGTTAAACTTTGATTCGTGACTCATGCTGAGGCTCAGGCTTGAATGCCTCCCTCATTTGATTGCTT